CTTTTTGATAGCCGGGCCCTACTTGATTCCTTCATGATACTTTATTATAGCACCCATTCTCAGTGATCATCACACAGGGTAGGTAAGAACAGTGCCCTGTGGTTAGATTGCAAACATTCAAGTGGGAGTTCAAGTCCATCTGCAGGGTGTATCTTGTCTACATATATGCACGACTCTACTTTCTACCCGTGGATTTGCCTATTCTGGACATTTCGTATCGATGAAGTCATAAATGCATGGTCTGTGACTGGCTTCTCGTCATGCGATGTCTTCAGTGTCAGGGGTTCATTCCTTTTGTGACCAAATACTTGGAACCTGCTGTGCCCCTGCCCACCCCCCTATGTGTGCTGTGAACTGAATTGCTTCTGCCAGGAACCAAAGACTTGTTTGTTTTTATTAGTTGCTCTCTTTTCAGACTTACACACAGCAGAATTCACTCGAGCGGCATGCAGTTTCACGACTAATGCAGAGTCCTGTGAGTACCTTCAATAATGAGACAGAGCAGTTTCATCACGACTCAGAACTCCCTTATGCTACCAGATGCTCCTCCTATCCCTGACCCCTGGCAATCACAGATCAGTTCTCCACCCCTATAGGTTTGCCTTTTCCAGAACTCGCATACGTGTGTGTGCACCTGAGCGTGCATATTTTCTAATATTGAGTGGGTTCCTGTCCCCACCCTCACATTCAGTGTTAAGTTTGAGCCCATTGTTGCAGCCACTGTGTCAATCCACCTCGTTGAGGGTCCTCCTCTTTTTGCACCAGCCCCCGACTTTACCCAGCACAATGCCCTTCTCCAGGGGACCGGTCCCTCCTGAGGACGTGTTCAAGGTACCTGAGACAGAGTGCCACATATTAACAGTGCTCCTTTGCTCTCTAAAGAGATTCAAAAGGATGGGGGTGGGGGTTTCACACAACCTGGCTGAATCTGCAAAGCTGTTATTTTACCTGATTCACATTCTAGGCTTCAGCCAGGTATGCCTTTTGAGAAAAAAAAACGGTCCCTCCCCCCATGCCAACAGCCCACCCCGACTCTCCCGGCACTCACGCTCAGCGATGCGCAGCGTGGGGTAGCCCAGGTAGAAGCTGAACTCCACCACACTCAGGTTCCGGAGCAGCTCGCTCACTTCGGACCCGTTCAGAAACCCCTGCGCACTTCTGACAGCAAAGACGATGGTGACTGGGCCCCGGCGGGCAGCCATCCTTGAAGGCCCCATGGTGACATTCAAGATCTGAGAGAGGAGAGGTAGTGTGAACTTTCCAAAATAAATGAAAAGGCTCGGCTGAAAGCTTGATGGTTATTTCTCCCTCACAACTTCCATCATTGATTTTTTTTTTTTCCCTGAAGAGGTTAAAGCTTTAAAAGGATAAGTAACTCGTTTTAGAGCCTGGTTCCCTTCTTTAATATTTTAAGTGAACTGGAAACGTTTTTCATATAAAAAGGGTGGAGTGCATGTTATCCAGCCCCTCCCCCATCCCTCAGCCACTGAAGTAACAATAAGCTGGATCAAAGGGAATAAATCCAACTAAGAGGAAGGAGGAAGGAGATCAGCGATTCTGTCAGGTGTGCAGGAGCCTGGAGGAGGAGGGAGCCGAGGAGGAGGAGGGGACCAAGACCCAAAGCAAAGCCTGGAAAGAGTGAACAGAACTGACAGCCCTTCTTCCAGGGCGGCTGAGAAAAAGTAGGTCACATATCTGTCATCGGTAGAATGAGTTAAAGGACTCCTTGCCAAAGAACTGCTCCCTGATGAAGACGAGCTCCTAGCCTGGCAGGGACCTCCAGGGCATGGCCACTGAGCATGAAGCTCATTCCGGTGCTCACAAGAGACAAGCCCTCTAGGGGCTCCGTGGGAGAAAGCTGTGGCCATCTGTTACGGACACCCAGCAAGGCCTCTGCTCGGCCTTTGGGTCTCACTGTGTCTCAGCCCACAGGAGGGCAGCAGGGTTTCCAGTTGGAGGTGTCCTAGGTGAGGCAGGGTGAAGCAGTTATGCCCTGTACTCGGCCGTTCTCACCTGCACTGTGATGTTATAGGTGCCCGGCTGGTACTTCGCTTCCGAGAGCGCGACCACCAGGCCTCTCTCGATACGCTGGGTGAAGTTGCAGAAGCCAGTGTCCACGCTCTGTGGCACAAACTGCAGGACTGGAAGGAAGGAGAGGGCTGTGAATGGTGGAGGGGAAGAGGGGAGCTCAGACCCCACTCAGCTAGCTCCCCCACAGCCTGGGAGCGCTGGAGGAGGAGGCAACCTGGTGTCCCGGCGTCTCACACTTGAAAACAAGGAAGGCATGCTGGCACTCAAAGGGGTGAAAACCAACTGTGATCAGAGAGTTGTGGTGCCAGAGTAAAACTGCCCCATGGAGCTGTCCTCTGCAGGAAGCAGAGCTCCAGAGTGTTCTTTAAGATCACAATTTCAGCATCTTAAGATGTCAGCATTCTGAGGCCCTACTTTGCAAGGGCTTTGGATGGCAGTGACAGCCCAACATCCATCTGCAGAGTCCCCACATAGATTAAGCCTCCACAGAATTCTTTCTGACCATTAACCGAGGATGTAGGTATCTGTGCCCTCAGTAGAGTGCTTTGGAAAGTGGATTACCTCCATGGCTCTCCAGGCAGCCTAGGGAGGGGCCAGTCCCTCTTAGGGGCTTACCTGAATGTGTCCTTGATTGAGGACACCATATGACAAAGGGCTGGCTGATTTGGAGATAGTAGTTCAAAATCTATTTGCAGAGTCCCCATATAGATTAAGTCCCTGTGCTGGGGCCAGTACAGGGGCTCACATAGTCATGAGTCATGCTCTACCCGTCTCACTCTGGTCAGAGGGCCCTGGACCAGTCTCGTAAGCTCCTCCACCTAAAAGAACGTACATGACCCGATCATGGTCTCGTCCCACATGTAACCGAGATGTGCTGGTCTGCCACCAACCATGCTTTAGTGAGTTTTCTCTGCCCTCGCATGCCCTTTTGAGAGGTTTTGTATCCCAGCAAACCGTTGGGCACCATTTAACCTTATGCTAATGGCCTTTCATCTAGATGGTGTGCCTGTGTCTTTGCACGGTCGTTGTCTCTTTAAGGACTTAAGAAATGTTCTCCATATATCTATATACATATAAAATGGCAACTCGTTAAGTCATAATGATATTCAAGAATCAGTAAGGGTACGATGAGGAATTATTACTAAAGGGGTACCGGGTATCTATTTGGGAGCCCTGGTGGCACAGTGGTTACTGGCTGGGCTGCTAACCGTAAGGTCAGCTGCTCCTCGGGAGAAAGACAGGGCAGTTTACTCCCGTAAAGCGTTACAGTCTCAGCAACCCCCAGCTTGGGGCCAGGGAAAGATCTGTAAGTGGACAGTGGCAATGACAGACAACGAGATGAAAGCAATTGATTCACTGAACTGCACATGCAAACAATGGTTAAAATGGCTCACTCTTATGATGTATATTGGACCCCAATAAAGCTTTCATAAAATTCCTTCATCATCATGGGAAGCTGCTAAGACTTGCTCCTCTGAAAACTGACATGTAAAAGGAGAGAATCGTGCACTGGTTCTGCCTACATTTCAGGGCAACCAACCAGTTGACTCTTTTGAGAAATCTCCTTCATAGGAGAGTTTCAGTTGGCAAATGCAGAACAGCATGCTGGCGTCCTGGGCTGGGGGTCCATTTGGATTCATGGCAACTCCACGTGGCAGAACAGAACCAACCCATGCGGGGTTGGTTAAGCTGCCAACTTTAAAAGAGAGGGGCAGTGACAAAGAGGGAGGCCCTCCATGAGGTGGGCAACACAGTGGCTGCAACAACGGCTCAAACACGGCAACCACTGTGAGGACGGGCAGTGCTTCCTTCTGCTGGACGTGGAGTCACTGCCCTTGACCACCACCACCACCACAGACCTGTGTGGGAGCAGATGGCCAGGCTCTATCTCTCAGAGCCACTGGAGGGGCTTAAAGTGCTCACCCCTCTGGGTTCCAACATCCAACCTTTCAGCCAGAAGTCCAGAGCTTAACCGCTGCATCCACCAGGCTCCTTGGAGAATGGCCAGTTTATCAGGTCACTGCTTTGTGGACTCTATGAGCTCACGGAGGGAGCGTGATGGAAAACTCTGCCAGGGCGGGGCAGGCTGTCACGTTTGTCTTTTTTCATCGGGACCATTGTGGCATCTGCCACGGCACTGCCACCAGATGTACGTGCCGCCTGGCGACATCCACAGAACCACCCAGGAGTTGTTCTTGCAAAAGCAAGCAGCCACATGAAAGCTGCACCTGCTAACCAGGCTCTTGTTACACATAACTTCCTGCAAGGCAGCAGGAAATGGTTCTAAACCTACATGGTCCAATCCGGGAGCCACGAGTCACAGGTGGCCACTGGGCAAGTTTGTGGGGCTGGATTCCAGTGTGTACTGACGGTGATGAATTTTAAATGGAAAGATACACAGGTGACAGGTGGGTATCACACCGGCCAGGGCAGTGTTGGCTGCTACTGCTGCCATCCTCGGTGGACTCAGGGAGAGGCACCAGGCAACTGGCACCACCATGCAGCCACCAGCCACCAGCCACATGCAGACTGGGGAGGTGGCCCTGAAAGTCTCTGCCATTCAGACCGGAGATGAGGGGATCATTCTTCAACGCATGAGACTTGGTGATGACTTCGCAATGGGAAACAATATATGCAAATGAATTTTTCCCCCCTGGTTAAGGATATTTAAATGAGGCAACCAGCGTGGTTACACGTTTTGGTTTCTCGTACATAAAAACATTCTGTTTACAAGACACTGGCCCAGACTTTCCCAGAGTAGGCACCGCCGCACCCTGGTTCCGGGGTCGGGAGGGCATTGAAGGACCCAGGGGGTGCAGAAGCCAAAACAGATACCTGCACTTTGTCCTGGATCATGGGCTCAGATATACAGTTTTTCATTGCTAGAGGCAGGGGTGGCGAGTCAGGTTTTATCTGAAAAGGGGGCAGTAGACCAAATAAGTTTGGGGACCTGTGCCCCCAGCTACAAAGTGAGAAGTCACATGATGGAAACATCTGAAATGCAAGGAGAAGGATCAACCTGGGGCACACAGACACAAAGCAAGCACAGTCAGGAGACGGGCGGCCACATGCCGCCTGAGAAAACTAAAAACACGTTCTCTGCAATGCACAATGTGATTATTCAATGGGGCTCTTCTAGCCAGTCTCGAACTCCCACCAGACCACGACCTTCTCCTGCCTGAGTCTGGTAAGGAGGGGGAGGTGGGGGTGGGGGTGGGGGGGACAGACACTGATAGAACTCACCTGTGAGAAACAGCAAGCAGGATGCATTGTCATCAGCTGTGTGTACAATGAGCGGCCTGCTCAGCAGCGCCCACTCACTGCCATCAGGTTGATGTCTGCTCATGGCCCTAAAGGGCAGGTAGAGCTGCCCCTGTGAGTGTCTGAGACTGTCACTCTTTGTGAGAATAGAAAATCTTTCTCCCGTGGAACACCTAGTGGATTTCGAACTGTTGACCTTTTGGATTGGAACCCAGTGAAATAAATACTAATGCACCGGGGCTCCTCACCCGCCAAGAAGCAGGAGAGGTGCCTCACTACCACCAAGACCCCAATATCCCTGTGCAGTGACCCTCCTGGATCCAGAAAACAGCTGTGGCATCACAGGAGCAGCAGCAGAACCAGGAGCCAGAGTGCCAGCCAGCACCAGCACCAGCCAGCATCAGAGTGGTGGACTTCCCAGCCCACAGAGCAAGGAAAACCAGGCAGGAGGCTGGCTTTGAAATGGAGCGGCCTTTACACTTCACTGGGGGAGCTGAGCTTGCTAATCCAGGGAACTTGAGCTGAATGCCTTCGGGTTGAGGCATACAGCGGAGTGGTATGCCCTTAGGGCAAATTATCAGCAGCCTGAAGCAACTCCTCACATGTCCAGACTGAATGACTGTTCAGACTGAGCATCTCTCACCAGCTTTGCAGCCTACTCACTCACTTCCTGACTAAACCCTGTATACGTGAGCATTGTCTGTGAGTTCTGTATGGCTTTCGCAATGAATTAAAGACTCCAAACAAAAAAGGTAGAGAATGTTGTGTGAGACAACACAATAATAAAAGGAGATATGCCTGTCGTGGATTTTTGTTTGTTTGTTTGTTTTTTAACCTCACCAAAGTTCTTAAATCAATGAAACTGAAGATTCCCTTTACCAGTCTCCACCCTCGGTCCACTCACCTGTCTGGACCTGGAACCTGGAGTCCGGCACAGAGAAGGAGGGCCTCAGGGCCAGGATGAGCGGGGTCCGGTCCCGCACTAGCTTGCTGCCAATGAGCACGTTGATGACCGAGACTGCCGTGTAGACCATGGGGCTGGAGGTTACAAGGAAGGTGAAGTCGGGGAAAATCTCATAGACCTATGGAAAAAGACACAAAGGAAAAGAAGTACTTGCAAGTATGAGACCCATCGCCTTGAGGGCCGTTGTCACCGTAGCTGCAACAATGGGCTCGGACATAGGAATACTGGAGGACAGTAGCTATGGGTCGGGACCAACTCGATGGCACAGAACAACAGCAGCACAAGAGGGCCGAGATGCCAACACAACAGGTGTGCTGGGTGAAAAATACATTAACACCTGAGGTTGGTTTTCAACGAGAGGGCCGTGCTTCTTGGGGAATCCACACTTTATTTCAGCGGTCTTTGTCTGTTTCTACACTTGCCAAACTGCTCAAGAGCACACAGTTACAGCTCCGAGAGAAGCAGGTTGCCGGGGCTGATGAATATATTACTCACACTGAGTCTCAGGGAATCGAGACGCTTATTTTACTGAAAGCAAACGGAAGGGTGCACTCATGCCCCAGAGAGGCTCGGTCAGTCAGAAACAGAGGGGCGCCACACAGGCAGTTCTACTCTGGTGGAGTGGTGGGTTAGGCATCTGGCTGCTAACAGCAGGATCAGCTATTCAAACTGAGGCTGTCTGCTCCTGTGAAAGTACAGTCTTAGAAACTCTGAATAGGGTCCCTGTGAGCCAGAATTAACTCGATTGCAATGGGTTTGGGTTTGGTTTGGTTTGGGGTTAGTTAACCATGCTACAAAAGTAAAACAAAGTAGGTGGCATGCATTTTTTTCCCAAAAAAATCACTTCATTAGGACATAATCCAGACATCACACCATTCAATATTTCAGTAGCATTAATTTTAATATCTTTTCTTTCACCTGAACTATCGCTGCAACATGTGATCAAGCAGAAAAAGGCATGAGATACTTCACACTGCTTTTTTCCCTCCCCTACGTCTTTGAAAGCCCACGTGTATTTCGAACTCACAGCATGTCTCACTCAGAAGGGTGGGGTTTTGCCAGCCCAGTAGCCCCACCTGGTTGGTAGCTCTCATGGGAGACAGAGCAGGTATAGTATGGAGCTTTCCTGAATAGAGCAAGCTGAAGAGGCCCTGGCATGGGTGCATCCCACAACATCTGAATCCCACCTCTCCCTCAGTGAATGCACAGGAAAACACACACACCTGCAGCTTCTCTGTAAATATATAGTGTGCTCACACACACAACCCGAGAAAGCAGTGGGAGGAAGTAAAATGGTCATGGGTCAATATGGTACTCACTCTAAAACCAAATGCCTCCTCTATACCCCTCACGTAAAGCCAGGGAAGAAAACCATCAACCCAAACACTGCCCCCTCTTGTCTAAGACTCCCCCAAATGAAACCAGAAACCACACTGCCTCTGGGAAGCCGACTCCAACTCATGACCACCCCAAGTGTCACGGAGCAGAAATGCCCTCTGGGGGCTTCTTGACTGCACAGTGCTAGGACTTTACCCCACAGTGCTGCTGGGTGGGTTTGAACCACTAACCTTTACATTGGACGCTGAGAGCAAGCCCTGGGCCCCAGTCAGGCTCCTTGGTCTTGAACCTCCCCCTTGCGTGTTCCAACTCTGCCAGCATAGTCTGACTGGTGGCTGACTGACCACCTCCCTGGTCAGTCAAGGGAGTCTTCCCTGATGAAGTGATGTCTGAGGGGGGAGGGGATGAGCAGGTGTCGACCAGGAGAGGCAACGTAAGGGAGGGAGAGCATGAGGGAAATTCTAGTGGAATCTACTGGAGTCCGGGCCTCCGTGTCCCCATCCTGTTACACATAGACTCCCAGTGCCTCAGGGACTCAGACGGCAGCCAACCCGGACCACCCTGCCTGGGGACTCACTTACCTTCAGCTCCACGGCCCGGTTGAAGTGGACACGCAGCACTTCCTTGATGGACATGATGATGTACTCATGCACGGCTCTTCGAGCCAGCACTGCAATTCAAGCCAACCACAAGGACATTAGTTTCATCAGGAAGTACCTGGTCATCGCTGATCTCATCCTCAGGCTGATGTCCAGGCAGAGTTGTGACCGAATTCAGAATTGGTTTTAAAGCAAGGCCCAGAGGGAGCAGTTTGACACTAGGTTTATGGGTCGCATCATTTTGATGCATTTCCATTTCATCAACAAAAATTACAGGAACCAATTACATTTACCTCCTACCATTTATGTTGACTTCTACCAAATATATATCCAAATTCATTTTCTTCTCAGCCTTCAAATCTCAAAATTCTGTGCGGTATACCTATCTCTATGGATACATGTCAATTTGATGCAAGCATAAATTGAGTATTAATTCCAGTATATTGGTTTAATTCAGAAAAGCATTACTTCAGTAATAAATATGCATATGGTCAAAAGGCTTTTAGAAAGTAAACATGAAATAGAGACAGTCGATGGACCAACCCAAGAAACTCTTACGATGTCAAACCCAGTATCTCAAATGTTGTATAATGTTAAATATTGTAAATTTTATATAAACAGAGTATATAGTTTCACTTATAAGTTAATAGTGTATAATTATGTTTGTTATTCTTTAAGTTGTTTTTAAAGAAAATTTGTGTTGTTGTTCATGTGTCAATGTGACGTGTGTCTGTAGAGACAGGTGCGTAAGAACTGTCCGTGAACCTAGCATTAAGGATGGAATGGCTGTAACAACTCCCAGAGGGCCCTCGGTGGGGATGGGGAAGTTGGGAGGAAGACAGGCACAGCATCTAGTCAGTTGGGACCCACCAGGGCATAGGAGCAGTTAGTTGTCAGTTTCATCTGGGCAAAGGCCAGGTCTTCTCTCAACTCCACCTTGTGAAGGATTGAATTGTGTGTCTCCAAGAGCCAGGCTGAAGCCCTAATCCCTATATATGTGAACCTGACCTGGTTGGCAAACAGGTCTTTGAAGGGTTACCGGTTAGGGTACTGGTTCTCAACCTTCCTAATGCCGCGACGCTTTAATACAGGTCCTCATGTTGTGGTGACCACCCCCCCCCATCCATTAAATTGTTTTCGTTCCTACTTCATAAACTGTCATTTTGCTACTGTTATGAATCAGGTGACCCCTGTGAAAGGGTTGTTCAACCCCCAAAGGGGTCGTGACCCACAGTTTGAGAACCGCTGGGCAAGGGGACCATGAGGTCACACTGGGGCTGGGTTGAGTCTTAATCCCAGATGGTTCTGTCCTTAGGGGGAAAAAGAGAAGAGACACAGCAGGCAGACAGAAAAGACGTCATGGGTCATAGTTGCAGCCCAGGAACACCAGTCAGCCCAGAAGCTGGGAGAGAGGCAGGGAAGAGTTCCTCCCTCGGAGATTCAACAGGGCTGAGGCCTTGCTCCAGCTGTGAGGTGATGGGCTTTGTCCTCATGGGCCCCGTAGTGGCAGGTCCAGATAGCTCAACTCTATTCCAGACAACCACAAGAAACCAATCATTGTGATAAAAGGCTAGGCGCCCAAATTTTTCGGAATTCCAAGTGCGTATAGAAGTCATGTATGTGTACACTAAAATGCAGTCTATAAAGTGTTATAATAGCATGGTAAAAATTTTGAATGTCATGAGCATGACCAAATGGGACACGGAGACTCAAAGTGGGTGCTGCTGGAAAAATGGTGCCCACAGACGTGCTCGACACAGGGTGGCCCTGGGCCTTCAATGTGGTACAATGAAGGGAAGCACAACAGAAGGGTAGTCAGTGCCTGTGCTGTGTCACTGCTACCTCGGTGAGCCGTCACAACAGTCCCTGATGACAAAACAACAGGTGTCAAAAGCCCTTGGCAACAATAGTTTAAGAGACTCTAAAGGGTCACTCAACCAAACTAGCTAAGGTCATCCACTAGAACACGAGAGCTCACACCCTCACTTTTCAAAGCCTTGAGTGAAGGGTCCTCTGCACTACTCGAGGAAAACAAGCTCCCACAACTCCTATGTGGGGGGAGGTCAGATGCGCAGGCATTCCCCCACTGAGGGCAATCAGTTGCCAGACTGCTGTCTCATCCCTCCACAGGGGTGGGCCTGCTCCCTGCCTCTGGGGACAATGGACAGGCTCCTGCAGGTGGAGTTTTCACCCTACTGATAATGTTCCTATGGAGACCCAGAGACCACCCCCTAGACCACCCTCTCATTGCTGTGTAACCTATAGTGCAGCCCCTTCCTGTGACGTATGTCTCTACCTGTAATTAGTGGGCTGGCTTGCCCCAAAAGGTATATAGGTGTGAGCCAGCAATATAGATCTCTCTCTCTCTGACTCTGAGCTCCTTGCTGCTCACTCCCTGGTCACTCCCCTCTCCCTTGTTCCCTTCCCCTCCTTCCCTTCCCCCTCTCTCCACGTGGACCACTAAGCTGGGCTGAGGTGAGCAATGTTGCCATGTAACGTGTCTGACTGTATCATTGTATTATCTCTCATGCTCTTGATGACTTTAATATAATACTTATATATCTCAACTGTACAATTGTGCATTACTGAACCCAGAAGTAGTATTACTGAACCCGAGTAGTAGTATAAGTAGTATCAGCGGGTGGGGGCTGGCCCTTCACCCCACCCCCCCAGCGACAATTTTTTTTATTTAATACTACACTCCTATGTGTTCAAAGTCTATGTAGGAATTAAAATACTCCTTACAAAGACTTATAGCTAGGTTCAGCCATTTTTCACATCTAAAAATGCCTTAATAAAAAAATGTGCCACTTCATGGAAACATTGTATCCATGAACATCAATCTCTTATCTTCCTGAGGCCAGAAGAACTGGATGGTGCCTGTTTACCACTACAACGGCTCTGAAAAGGATCCCAGTGGAAGGTCCTGAACAGAGTGGGAGAAATGAGGGACAAAGCCCACTATCATATGAGACCAGCCTTGCTGGCTGGGTGGAGACCAGAAGAACCCCCAGCCTATGGCCCTTACCCTCAAGCCTAGAACAGAATACAACCTCATGTTAGCATAATCAACCATTTAACATCAAAAAGGCAGCATTTACCCAAGAACAGAGTTCGAAGGGTTAGGCAAAAAGAAGGAATGGAAACAGGGAGGAAGTGGGATAGAGCAACTGTCCACAGAGGGGCTTGCAATGGGTAAATTCAATCTGAATGTTATGAATGGCTGAATGTAAAACTACAATCTGCTCAGTAAACCTTCCCCCAATTCATAATAAAAAAAACTTTTTAAAAAAAGAATGTATCCTAATTTCTCTGTTGGGTAAGCTTACCTCAGTTCCCTTATTGTCCCTATTTTTGTTGCTTTCCTCTTTCATGAGCATCCCATAATGCAGAATTAGAAAAGGTTTGATACTACTTATTTTTCCACTTCCCGTTTCTGCCTTAATTTCTTTCTTTCTTTTTTTTTCTGCCTTAATTTCTAAAACCAGCCACAGAAGCCCTCTGCACACTTCCTTCTTTTTTTTTTTTTTTCTAATTAAA